TGGTGGGTGAATCTTCATCGAGGCAGTTAGAAGACGAGTTCTTGGTTATGAAAAGGGGACTTCCATTAAAGAATGTGTTCAGTGCAGATGTGTTAGTTCTTGGTTATGAAAAGGGGACTTCCATTAAAGAATGTGTTCAGTGCCAGAAGATGTGTTAGTTAGGCCATGTATTGCGCATGGCAACCCATCGTTTGTCGAACGGAGTGCTGTTTTCCGTGCCATACTACCCGAAGGAAGCACGAGGTTTAGGATACTTCCAGGTTGCCCCAGCCTAGACAGGGGAAGTCGAAAGGCGGAGGTCGGACTCGAATCACGGACCTTCAGGTCAGTAAGTTCGCGCTCGTACTACTTGGGCCATCTTGGCCTGATTACTATGGGGCTTGCAGCACAAAAGCATTCGTGAACTATCGCAACTGGTGTGCAGCGTCTATTGCTGTATGGCGTCGATTCGTTCGTCACTCATTTTGCCAGGAGCTTAGGGATAGCCGAACTTTTCATGGAAGACTGATGGTCACTCTGAAACCTTATTCATGTTGGTAACCATCGTTAGTTCGCGTCTGGCTAATCCTAAAGCAACCCTTTATCTACAGTCGCTTGGTAGTTGAGGTGTCTGAGCTACCTGTTCACAGATCAACAATTATTTCAGCAAGCTAGTCTCTACAACAAGACCATGGAGGCGAGATGGCTCAGTGGTTAGAGCGCGAATTTACTGACTGGAAGGTTGTGGTTCGAATCCAACCTCTGCCTCTCGAATTTATTTGTCTAGGCTTGGGCAACCTGGCAGTATCCCAGTCCTTGTGCTTCCTTCTGGTGGCATGCAGTTACGCGCCGAAACGGTGCTACGGCTGAACGATTACACTTAACTGACTATTCGTGAAGTCCAGCGTTTACTCTAAAGGTGCAGCAAGCTGAATTAACCAGGATATTTTCCCAATTAACTAGTGTTTTTATTGATGAACTGCATCCAGTTTTCTTCCTTATTTCAGCCTCACTTATATCTCCGCCGCTTTGTTCACATCCACTTAGCTTGCATGCGGTCGATCGTAGATTTACTTCCGCACAATGACGCAATCTGTTCCGGAATATTTCACTCTCCTTCCTTCAGAAATATGTCGTCTTGTGCTGGGTAAGCCCCCTTGTCAATTCCATATTTCCGACTTGTTTTTCTAGGCTATCTAGTTCACTCCGGTCCCGAGTCCGCCGCAAAAGTACTTTTCAGCGAAAGCATCCATTTGTCTGAATTACGGGCACAATACAAGACAGTCACTGACTTACCCCTACATCTCACACAATTCACTTTGCTTGATCTGGTATACGATTACTTGCGAATTGCTAATTCAGGTCAGTTTTTTCGAGTTTTGTTTGCCTGTGAAACGATCGTGGTCTCGAACGCGAAAGCACATCCACATTTCGTCCACCTGCCTCTCGTTCTTCATCTACAGTCGCCCACCAGTTGTCCAAACTTGGGGTCGTATGTCGATTGGGTGCTGTATCAACTGTGCTTCCGCATCTGCTGAAAACCAACCCAAACGCATCTGCCGGCCGCCGAATCAGCCCCGTTTTTCCCACTCGACCTTCATGGATGCCATTAGGCAAGACCTATTTGCCACCGCGGATTGTGCACGGAGAACCTAAAGGACCTGTTCGACTACCTTTGCTTGCCGTTCGTCCGCACCTATACTCCGACGGTGTCAGTGGTGTACCCGGTTCTCGCACGTCGAGTGCCACCGATGTCCCTTCACAACTTCCTAGTATCGTGAGTATTCAAGGTATGGAACTTCTACTAGCGTGGATGTCTATTTGGGCATGACCGATATGTTTCGTCTTCCTGTTGGTGTCTTTTCCCCTTTCTGTTCAGTGTTCCCCATTCATTGAACAGTACTTCTGTCGGATTGTACTGATTGGTTTACTTATAGATAAGAATGTCGAACACATTGGTAGTCATTTCACTTCGCGAGGGTCTTCCTCGAGTATCGATCGGTCCTGTCGAACGTGTATGCCTTGCTTCTTGCATTCAGCGACCTTCGACCACTACGGTGAACGATGGGCTGAAAAACTGAGAAGTACTTCTCAGATGAAATGTTCGTTTTTCTGAATTATACATCCTTTTGAGCTACTTGTTGTTGGCTGGTAGTATGAAGGGATTTGGAAATATCCGATAGAAATTCTGCCCTTTCAATGAAATCAGTCTACACGGAAAAGCAAAGAATCATCAACAATAAGGATGAAACGGATGTACAGTGCTTCTCTCCTTTTTCGCCACAAGACGAAATTTCGGTTGAGAAATCTCAGTGTCCTCAGTACATGTTGTGGAACTTCCGGAGAATTTTCTATCATTTGTCAAGTTCTCTCGTCCTAACCCTTTGCGTGTCCTCAGTACATGTTGTGGAACTTCCGGAAAAGTTCTCTCGTCCTAACCCTTTGCGCCGATACCTTGTGACCCCTCTGGTTTTTTAAGCTACACTGGGATCAGGTATGGTTTGTGAGTGTGTCGGTGCGCAATGTAATTCAACCATCTATCCGCTCTGTAGAATTGGAAACGTCTAGTTTTTTTGTTTGTTTGTTTGTTACGGACTGAACTTGAAGTAACTGTCTCCAATTCTTCTTCTCAGTTGACATTCCGGGCGGACTCGTCCGCAATTTTATGCTCACCAAGATTTGTCCACCCTTACTTTGCAGGCAATGTAGGAATTCCGCGTGTTCTGTCGTCAGAACCGTCGTCATCTTCAACCTCGAATTCCCGACCAGTGATACGCCTCTATCGTAACCCGGTTGGTACAGGCCCACCTTCCGTTCTAAATATGGTCGAAGAACAGAAACTAGATGAAGCTTCCGATGTCCTGTCGTCCTCACCACCTTGTTCTCAGACTACTGCACCCACAGAGCACAGTGAACCGACCCCCACAGACACAAACCCCGAACTCCTACCTGCTGAGGAGACTGAAAGAGTCGTGGTTGATGAACCTACTGTCAGTCTACCGGAGGATCCAATTGCAGAAGCCGAAGAAGTGCCACCTTCTCCGGTCGATGCATCTGATGAGGAGGTTGAACAGAAACTGGAAACCAGTGTAGAGACTGGCATTGAAAGTACGACAGAAGTGAAATCGGAATCTCAGGCACCGTTCACGGTCTTTCAACATCTACCACCTCCTACTGAGACTCCTGCAGTTCCCTCCGTAGATGTCACATGTGACCGAGCTTCCGATGAGGCGATTTCAAAGGCATCCTCGAAGACCAAAAGGCGCAGATGGTATGTGAAGGTGAATTTACTCTTGTTTTATCTCTTTATCCCGCTGTTGGTTTACGCCACCCTTGTTTGACTCTGAACTCTGCATTTTAACACGATGAGTGACTCATGCCAAGTTTTTGCCGGGCAGTTTGATGACTCGCGAATAGTTAGTCTGCTCTTGTTGTCCTCCGCTCATCGTACGTAGAATTACTGAGCGACACCGCTCGCATTACCGACGAATTTGAGGCAGCTAACATGACCATCATGTACAAATCTTAGCAGATGCCTAGCTACTGGGGGAGAATGGGTGTTTTTAAAAAAATCTGTCAAGGCTATTTTACTGTTATTGGCTAGTACTGTGATGGTTTGTCCCTTCAGTGACTTGTCGAGGGAAAACAAATTAATAATGATTATTCAGCTGTGACACTTGTGGTGTCTAGCTGACATGCCACCCGAAGGTAGTATCAGGGCTGAGATACTGCCAGGTTGCCCAAGCCTGTACAGGAGCAGTCAGGATGCCGGGGTGGTGTTCGAATCACAGACACTGAGCTATCTTGCCTCTTGTCGAGAGGGTGTTGACTTAGATAACGTCGTGGTCATTGCCCGTTGACACTGAATCTTCAGTGGTATATAGTCATAGGAATATCTTGAAAATCCTCGTAATGAAAGTATACGTGAGAACATGGCGGGGACTTGATTTAAGCACACCACAAATATCAATAGGCCCACACATCTGCAAACACTTGCCTGTTAATCTGGGTGTTATCAGAGTTCGAACCCAACCTTTGCCTCTCGAATTCCCTTGTCTAGGCTTGGGCAACCTGGCAGTATCCGAGCCCTCTTGCTTCCTTCGCGTGGCATGGCAGTTAGGCACCGAAAGGGTGCTGGTCCGGTTGGAACATCAGATCAGGGCCAACGAAGTAGTTTTCAGCAGAAAAATGAACGATTCTCCCCCAACAGATCAACTTTCCGTTGGTTATGCCGGTTAGGTTATGTACGTTCTGTGCTAGTCGATCGTTTCTTCGCTCGGATGAAAACGACCGAGAGGCAATGACTTGATAACGAAATAATAAGCCACTTATAAGTCAATTCAATGGCGTTTGTAACCACGGTTGGGGACGCCTAGACGAGGCCATACTGCGTGTAAAGCCACCACCTCCGCCACGCAGCTATCTCACTCCCTGCCCTACCGAACCAACAGAATCATTTGTCGTTAGCGTGCTGCTTGGGCCATCGCCCCCAACGTGTGCCTCTTATTTGTACTTATCCCTGTTGAACAAAGCTGTATCAGCTATAGCCAATGTACTTTGATACTCAGTAGATAGTTGAATAACTGGACGGAAGTCCTATCTCCTCCGAACACAAACGCCTGGACTGGTGTGTGTGTGTGTGTGTGTGTGTGTGTGTGTGTGTGTGTGTGTGTGTGTGTGTGTGGATGCACTTCATTTGTTTGTGCCATGCCGCAATAGTCATTAAAAACGCTACCCCGGGGGTCCGGCATGGTCGAGTCACCTCAATTATCGTTAATTTGTCCACAATATGGCTAAAGGAACCGGACTGATTCTTGCTGGGACGAAATTCGAATTCGTACGGTCATCGAGCTTCATGTGGATTAATGACACTCATGTATTTACCCAGTTTTGTGCTGCTGTTATTTGCTGATATCATGATATCGTTTGTATCATTCGCTTCACCGTACACATCTTTTTAACCCCACAGGATTCCCCCACGTCACATGGTGACCGCACCGGAGGTTCCCGAAGCCACTGGGACAACATCTGCCGCTGAGAGCAGTTCCGCTGAGGACGATGTGGATCTTGAGGTCAGTCAGTTCTACAGAGCGATACCATTTTTGCACACATCTTTTAACTGTAGACGTGTAATCCGGAGGGATTATGCTTCGCACAGCCTAATTGTTCTATCTGTTTTCCTTGCTTGGACTGTCTTTTTTATTAGGAACGGTGTTCTCATTCGCGTGGGGAACTGATTTTTTATGACCAACCACTAATACTGTTTGTTTCACTAGCTGGGTGCACACTGAGGCTTTGCACAGCCCGAGTGTTCTATTTGTTTTCCTTGCTTGGACTGTCTTTTTTTTAATTAGGAACTCAAAGGTGTGCGTAATATGAATATTTCAGACAGTATCCAAACCCGACTTTTTCAAACTGCACTTGTGTAGGGATGAAAGGAAATAAACAAAGTGGATACTCCAGTAACCGACGGCAAATGTTCCGGAGGTTCTACACGTACAAAATCATGAATGCTTTGACATTGAACGTTTCATGACAATTCAGGCATATTTGGACTTGTGGCCAGAAAAAATCGGAGATGCTGGTTACCCTCTAATCCGGTATTCACTCAGGTTTCTGTTGTGTGAATGCGATAATCAGGAAAGACTGAAACTCGAGTGTTTATCTTCTTTTTCACACGGCAATTTAGAAAGGCGCTTTTCAAACTTGGGTCGGTGAAGTGGACATATTACGTCGTTGGGGTCCATATGTCATCCTGCACTGGGGTCCGCCTAGATACAAGTTTTATGAGGTTTAGCCTTTGTCCCGAAAGGGGGCGAGGTGGCTCAGTGGCTCAGTGGTTAGAACGCGAATTTACTGACCGGAAGGTCTGTGGTTCAAACCCGGCCACTGCGTCTCCACTTACCCTGTTTAGGCTTGGGTAACCTGGCAATATCCCAGCCCTCGTACTTCCTTCTGGTGGCATGGCAGTTGGACACCAGTAGGGTGCTGAACGATAGTTTTGCCCTCAGGAATTTGAGTGAGTGAGAAGTTCGCACTTGAACTGTCAGTCAGTTCCGTGATTCAAGGACGAGTGGTTCTTTATCCTATCCAAGTGCCATTTAGTCACTGCTGATCAGCATTCTTGGTCGACTGATTTAGCCTTGGACTACCAACCTGAATGTTGCGAAATTCGAATCTCCCGCTGGACTGCTGCCTGAATGGGTCAACCGTAAAGTGCTTTTAAGCTTTTCGATAGCTGTTCAACACTCTGATCAACCACCGATGTCACTATTCCGGTACACTTCCAATGTATCCTTACGCACCAGGTCTCTCCCTCATTGAACGTTTGCTTTTCCCTCTCTAAGACCTTCAATAAGGAAGTAGTAACCGTCCATTTACCGTCGAATAGTTTTCAGCAACCTTGTGAGTAGTTTCTTTTTTGTGAAGATAACCGTCCCGTTGTGACACTTGCAGTTCCTAGCTGCTATGCCTTTCCAGGAAAAAACGATGGCTAAGATGCTGCCAGGTTGCCCATGAGCAGTCGACATGCAGATGTCGGGTTCGAACAACGGACCTTCCGGTCAGTTGGTCCACTAAGCTACCTTGAACTCAGGATTTAAATATAATCAGACAGGGCAGCGAAACGGTGGTGAGTTGGCTCAGTGGACAGGGCGCGAATTCACTGACCGGACGGTGTGTGGTTCAAACTCGACCTCCGCCTCTCGACTTCTATCTAAGCTTTGGCAACCTGGCATTATCCCAGCCCTCCTGCTTCCTTCGGGTAGCCTAGCAGCTAGGCACCGAAAGGATGCTACAGCTGAACGACTATTGAAGCACTGAAGCAATGATGTCAACAATGACCTTGATCTCTCTGATTAGGGCGATGATGATGGTGATGATGGCGAAGACCCAGCTTTATTCAGTGTTATTTTGATTATTTTTGGTATTTCTTTTCGAGTTGACAACTTTTGTGATGGGGATGCATCTTTGTCCAATCACGCTAACGGAATTTGTATAACTCGCTTCTAGTCACGCCGAATTTGACTTCAACGCACTTTATAATGTGTATGCATACTTTTCAGCGATTTATTGCCGCTCTTCTCGATCACCCCGAACAAGTGGCTGGCCATATCAACGCCAAGATCGGTGGACAATCAAAGTCGGTTGTCGTTCAAACTCATCCATTGCGGCTATCTCCACCCAAGTCAAGCCACTCGTGTTTTTCATCAACTCGCCCTGTGAGATCCTCGTCACCGGAGGACCAGATCCTTACAGACAATTCTCTTTCACCATCTTCCATGCCACTGCACCCACCTCATTCAAGCGTACCAACGTCAAACGATCCTGGCGCTGCATTATTAAATGTAAGTCCAGCTCACTCCGCTTACACCACAGCACTGATTATCTGCTCTCCTAGCTAGCAACTTGCGCTTGTTCCTTGCGCTTGTGTTGTTCTCTTCGAAGTCACCGAAACGTGTGATGACGCAAAATATAATGTAGAATTACTCAACTCATGCGAGGAACTATGCCTTTCATGTCTTTCTCACGGTACCACTCACGCCGAATCCGATCTCTGGTGTCCAGTACGGTGCTGAAATCATTTTAGTTTAAAGCCATATATAGTCTTGGCGCTGGAGCTCACGGGACCGTGATGTGATGAGTTGTTCATCTCTATGATCCACTGAGCTATACTGGGGGCTTAAGGTTTGACATCCGCAAAGTTCCTCGTAGGTTTTCATAAAGGAAACTACTCACAAGGTTGCTAAAACCCTTTTGACAGCCCACGACCGGTTTCGCCCTTCTTGGGGCTCATCAGGTAGGCGCAGTCCCCGAGTTTCCGTCAACCTTATGATCTACTTGAACCCAAATTGCACTGTTTTCGAGAAATACACTCATCTGCAAATCAATTTGGTTTTCACGGGAGACTCAATTGAATCTCTCGTTTATGATGTTCTCCAGCTGAATGTGCTGCACACAGGCCGCCTCATCATTCAGTTGGCACGATATTCGAGATATCGAAGTATATTTTCATAAAGGAAACTACTCACAAGGTTGCTGAAAACTCTTTGACAGCCCACGACCGGTTTCGCCCTTCTTGGGGCTCATCAGGTAGGCGCAGTCCCCGAGTTTCCGTCAACCTTATGATCTACTTGAACCCAAATTGCACTGTTTTCGAGAAATACACTCATCTGCAAATCAATTTGGTTTTCACGGGAGACTCAATTGAATCTCTCGTAGGTTAGTCAGTGTAGAGAGGTTTGTCGGACTGTCTCCTGGTCTCCTGGGTTCTCTCTGCATTGTTGTATGCAATTTGTCAGAACCAGGGATTCGGGACTGTGTTTGAACGGACTGTCCGTTCGCTCTGTTCCAACTTCCGACTGCACACCTCTGGGGACGCGGAGCTCGCTGGAGCTGTATATACCGGGATGGGTACTTTGTTGGGCGATCGAGCGGAGAAGTTCTTACTTGATTGATAGTCGCCTCTATGTGGTTCGTTTGGCAACGCCCATAGAAAAATTTCGAAAAATTTCGAAAAAATTTGAGGTCTATCACTCCCTGTTTATTGCCTGCTTACACCACGACCAACTGTAGCTCTGTTACTTGAACGCTACGGTTGGTAGACTAAGCGCTGCTAAAGCCGAATCGGGCGGTCGTCTTGGATTGGACACGCGACGCACGGACAAAGTAGATCGCCTGCTTCAGATGTGTGCCGATCACAGACTGTTCCTTTGCGGTGCCGATTTCCGGAACAGCGGAAATCACTTGACAACGTGGTACCCACCAGCAAACCAGCCCCGAATCCCAACAAACACATTGCCATCAGTTCCCAATGGTAATCAGTTTTTGTCTATCCCTCTTCTCTGTTGGGGCGAGCAAGATATCTGAATTCCAACTGCTTCGTCTCCAACTCGCTTGGCACCGCCCGTGTTGCGTCTGATAGATGCGGGAGACGTTCGGAAAACTTCATAGTGAGATACATCTGAGTCCGTCTTCAAAGAGTTGGTTCTTCCGGCATTGTACTTTGTTAGCTCTGTGATGCATAGTATGTAACATCCACAATATGTTTTCTGCTGCGGTTTTCGACGGATAAAGGCACGACAGACAATTCTTCGGTCCGTCGGTTTGGGAGCAGAACATGAGCTAAAACTTATAACCAGTCTCCGCTGTTATGGACTCTCGCTTCTCCGAATTATTAAACCTTACGTCTTTCTGCGATAGTGAGCGATAGTTATGTCGACGTAGCATTATGGGTATGCCGGGGAGGTTCTCTTTCGCGAGTTCCGGGCCGTCTTTTTGTTTTTCAAGGATTTCCCATTTTCCGCTCGTCTGCCCTACCTGAAATATCCCACAACCGCTTAAGTTTTAAACATTATAAATATATCAAAAAGAATATAAATACCGTGGAACTTGTTACTCTTTTTGGTTCTCGTATCAAAGGCCGCTTGAGTCCAACTGCGTAGGTGCTATTTCATCCGTATAAATGTCATGTTTTTTCCAATATAACTACTCTCAAAAGCTAAGGCGACCGCCTTGTAGAACGTTTCATGACACCTCAAGAAAACCCGGATTGATCTTGTGTATATAACGATTCATCTCACCTGATATTTTGCTTAAAACATCAACTAGCCATCCACTACCACCCCTGTACTTTGAACGTGTTAACAAAAGCTTCACTGAGTGTTCCCGATTCAGGGCGAAGTACATGATGGATGGCTCATTCAATACGGTTCACATTCTGCTCCGTGGTCGGTAGATTTCTCAGATAAATGCTTTTGGCTGCAGATTTTGTTGAAACCTACAAGTAAGGGAGCGTGAGTGAAGCCGCTTCCAACTTGACAGCTACCGGTCCGATACTGTTAGGCTAATACGACAACCATATCTCGTGCGATGTTGTTCCCGGCATGATGCGTTCTGTCTGACATATATTAGTTAGGATAAGCGGAACCATTCTAACGTTTACACACCTTACTTGCAGGATACTCGTGTTCTTTGTTATTCTCAGTTGGACCTCTTATTGCATTTTTTAATCCAAGGTCGATGATCTGGACTTCTGCATCGATCAGCTGCTGTCTGAATTCGACGCTGCTGATGCCGAGATGGAGGATTTGCCCGATCAGCTCATTCCTTCGGCAACTCCAGTTCCCACAGACGTGGTAGAATTATCCGTCCCCTCGAGGGCATCAACTCCTGCTGTTCTGCCGGCGGCTAACCCTAAGCAATCTGAGCCGAAATTCAATTCCAGACTTGCCTCTAAGTCGCCTCGACGCCCTGCCTCTCCACTGTGTCTCAGTCAACTTACCAGAACAGCTGTGGTGGCCGAATCCCCAAATAAACGCCGCCGGTTTTATGCAAGTGAGGCACATAACGGTGGAGCTTTACGCACTCCAGACGGGAAGATCCCGGATTTCGGCCCCCAACAAGTTCAGTCGCTTCAGAAAGATTTATTTTCTACCGAGTGTGCGATGCAATTTTGTAAGTGCTTTTCTGATAATATCCTTACCGAAATCGGAGCATATTTGGTGGGAAAATACTGAGCGTTTTGGTTGGATTGTATTGAAGAAACAACGTTGGTAGATCGCGGTTTTACTGCTCGGTGTGTTGGCCTCCACGGCGGCCCCTACCAGAAGGACGCCATTCGCTGTGAAATCGCTGGTGATCAGAGAGCATACCTGTAAACCTAATGCATTTCTTAGTGACCAGAATGCCGCAGAAAAACATCTGCTCAGTGGCTTTCATAGAAAAGGGAATAGATTAGTCACAAAGAACACAATGGTCCGAAAGCAGGACCTACCTGTTGATGAACTTTCGGACTAATTTTTTGCGGTTTCAGATGTCTTAAACGTACTCGCTGTTTGCAAGATAGACAATACCATCAAATAATATCTGACCTACCCGCGATATCGAACAGGTATTCGGAGAAACGAACGAATTTACCGCCAAGTTTCCCCAAGAAGCGTTTTGTCTAACATTTAATTTAGTGTGTTCATTTCGCATTTTCGAACCCGCTCTCCGATGACCTGAAATTCATCTTATCCTGCCATTGGACTGTCACCATCCGTAGCGTAACTCGGCTAATCCAGTATTCTGATTGGGTAACGTTCTCGACCAATTGGAATTCGGCATTCGCAGAGTTGTTTTGTCGAAGCAGTGGCAATGAATGAGACTTTATTGAAAGAGTACTAGGCGGATCCAAGTTGGGACACTGAATCTTCGGTTAAAAACGGACAATTTACCGCTCGAACTGCGGCATACGTACAAGCGCAACACATCTGGTTTTGGCGTTCGCTCAGTTCTTCACGAAAAGTGCTCATGAAATGATGGAGAAACTAAATAAACTGCTGATTTTGGCTGGATGTTTTCCACCATACTGAGAATCACGAGAAACACACTCATTTGCAAACCAATTTGGTTTTCACGAGGGACTCAAGTGAATCTCTCGTTTATGATATTCCACAAGTGAATGTGCTGCACACAGGCCGCCTCATGTTTCAGTTGGCACGATATTCGAGATATCGCAGTATATTTTCATTTTCATAGAGGACACTACTCACAAGGTTGCTGAGAACTCTTCGACTGCCCAGGACCGGTTTCGCTCCTCATTTCATAAACGAGAGATTCACTTGAGTCCCTCGTGAAAACCAAATTGATTTGCAAATGTGTGTATTTCTCGAAAGCACTCTGATTTGGGTTCAAGTAGAACATAAGGTTGACGGAAATTCCGGGGACTGCGCCTACCTGATGAGCCCCAAGAAGGGCAAAACCGGTTGTGGGCTGTCGAAGAGTTTTCAGCAACCTTGTGAGTAGTTTCCTCTATGTTAGTATTGGTTACTTCACGCCATCGAGCTATAGATAGCTCATTGGTTACGATGCCGAACTGAAAGTCCGTCGTTCGACTGATTGTGTGTAGGTTCGGGCAACCTGGCAGTATCTCCGACTTCGTGCTTACTTTGGGTGGCGTAGCACTTAGGTAGCGAGTGTTATAGCTGAACGATGATCATACTATTAGCATGTCATTTTTCGTTTTTATTTTTTTCGCATAATTTTCTCTCTATTATATATTTCCCCCTTTTCGACTTTGTGACTCAGACGAGGAATTTGTCGGTTTCGATAGGACTCCAACGGTTTCCACAACTGATGACTCTAGATTCAGCATTCCCACCAAACCGAGAACGACCGGTGTTCAAATTGCCACCTCTCACTGTCCAATAGATATGGTCCAGCTAACGTCAGTTAGCGCATCACTGCACACCGGTGATCCTGGTGGTGAGGTTCAACGATGGTTTCCAGAGACACTCCCCAATAATGTTGCTTGTTTTGCAACAGCGCCTCCACTCAGTTCGACTGTGATGTCCACTGCCTCACCAATCTGCGTGCCGTCTTCCATTCTCCCACACATATCCACCCTTTTACCTGCTGTGGAGCATCGGCGACCAGTCTGTGTGAACAGCACAGACGTGGGAGTCGGTAAACCGGTAGGTTTGTTTTTGCACCCGCTGATTTACCGCATGACTCGTGCAATGTTGTCGAGATGCCATTGAGGAGTAGCTTCCAGAACATAGGTGAACAGACTGTGGGGGATGCTGCCGCCCCTAATTTTTCGTAGTTGTTACAGAGAACAACGGGAAGTTCACAGATGGTGGTCGACCTCGGTGCAGATTGCTGCCAGTACTGCATGATGATCACCACTCGTTTTAAACCAAGTTTCCCTGTCCTGACTCAAATCCAAGCAGTGTAGTGTAGACAATCCCATGTTCCCCACTGCAAAGGGAACCCCGACAGTTTTTGTAGTACGGTACACGAATTAGTACCACAACTAGCTTTTCAGTTCCGTAGGTTTGATGCTCGAATTCATTAGATTGTAAATTATTTGACGAAACTAGGTTGCTGAACAAAAATTTGAAAAAAAGATTGACCTACTGGTTGAGTTGAAACTTTTGATACCGACTTTGCTAAATGTATCTTGACAGACTTTACACACTGCTCTTTAGTTGAACGAAATTCTGTGGAGTGTGCTTTCTCGTATCCCTAGCTTCTTCCATCTACTTTCTTCACGGGTACTCCTGAGTCCCACACCACCATCTCCACCGCGACTTCAACCCTCACCGGATCCGTCTCCAGACCACCGACTCTGCAATTCACCTCAGTCGGCTCGACAAACGGTGCCCCACAGACCATTTTGTTCTACCCCACAGTTCATCCGACTGTGACGTCGACTGTGACGCCCGTCAGAAGAGAGGCGCTTAGAGGGCTGAACTTGGCGACTAACGTATCTTCTAGTTCGAATATTCTGACAGTGCCGTCCATTTCCAACCTTGGTTCCATCGAAAATTTGGATGGCAAACCGGTTATCATTCACCTCCCTCCGTCGGCCTCGATCGTCGGTGAGTAGAGATGAACGTTCCGTTTTGTTTTGGTTTTATCAAAAGGACCCGACGTCCATGTTGCCTTTTTCTCGCAAAGCGTTAAATGATACTCAGAACGCTACTGAAATCCGTCCAGCGCACTCGACCGGAAAGTTGAAAATAACAGTCGACTATGTCTTCAGCAGAGCAATATTCATGGGCGTTATCCTGCGTGAATCTTGATGGGAGGTTTTATCTGGATGGGGCTTGCGCTTCGCCTCGACTGATTCATTCTATCCGTCTGAGTGGATTCCAGATGGATTCCCCACGCAACAACTGGCTGACTTTTATGGCAATTAGGCATTGGATTTCTGCAGTCATCCACTATAGGCTTCAGGCGTGTTCTGTCAAATATCCGCTTGTCTGATAGGCTGGTATAGGCTCTCTTCCGAAAACGATAATGTTGGTAGAACTGGCAGATGGCGAGATGGCCTAAGTGGTTAGAGCGCGAACTTGCTGACCGGAAAGTCCGTGGTTCGAACCCGACCTCTGCCTCTCGACTTACCCTATCTAGGTTTGGACAGTCTGGCAGTATCCCAGCCTCGTGTTTCCTTCGGGTGGCATGGTGGTTAGGCACTGAAAGGGTGCTACAACTGGACGACTGGCACTATGACCCATCATTTCATTCGGACGTACGCGTGTACATTTCGTGGATGTCGAATACCGACGGCAATACCTTGCCAATACGGCTTATACGTAATGGGTCCTTTGGAATTATGCAAACATGGGAAACATGGTTAGTGCGCATTGAACTTCTATCGCGAGAATAACGCGCATTAAGTGCAACGTGTCGATGTTCATTTGCAGGGTCTACTTTGTCGCTAATGACAGATTTCCCAACCCACAGAGTGATTCAGAGAGTTACTCTTTACGTAACCATGTTAGCCTCGCTGCAGCTGTGCACGGACCAACAAGCCTCTTGCTCAAGGGAATAAAGTCTAGAACACGTTAAATTTTGTTTTTCGACAATCCGATTGAACCATAGAAGTCAGCATCTCTGTCGGACTTGTCTGGGGGTAACGATTTAGCATTAGTTTAATACTGAACTGAGTAATTTGTTAAGTTGCCCAATCTGCAGACTGCGCTCAAGGCACAAATCTAGGGTTTTACGGGGCGAGATGGACCAAGTGGTTAGAGCGCAAATTTACTGACTGGAAGGTCCGTGGTTCGAATCCGACCTCTGCCTCTGGACTTCCCATGTCTAGGCTTGGGCGACCTGGCATTATCCCAGCCTTCGTATGGCATGTCAGCTAGGCGCCGAAAGGATGCAAGCTATTAGTGTTTCTCCTCCACTCTTAGTGAAACAGTTTTGGTTATTCAGGCTTTATCCTCGAAACTAGTCGTGAAGTAGGACCATTCAATTTGGCTGGCGCCGAAAGGATGCAAGCTATTAGTGTTTTTCCTCCACTCTTAATGAAACAGTTTTGATTATTCAGGCTTTATCCTCGAAACTAGTTGTGAAGTAGGACCATTCAATTTGGCTAAACTATACAGAACTTGATGTGATTCAGTGGTTGAGGCGCAAACTCACTGACCGGAATTTGCGGGGTTCGAACACAATGCCGGCATCTCCTGGCTAGGCTTGGGTAAACTGGCAGTATCTCAATCCTTCTGCTTCTTCCGGGTGGCATGACAGCTAGGCACCAAAAGGGGTTTTACAGCTGGATTGTACAGGTCTGTTGCTCGACGTTCCAGCCACTTTGGATCACGTACTTGAGGGGTAATTTCAGAATATGACTCAGTGTGACTTGTGCCCCAGCCAACACTATGTATGATTTCTGTGGACCAAGGTCTACATTAGGTTTCATCAGCTTGAGCCCCATGTGGTTGCCTTGTTTAACACATGCTAAGTGCAAGGATGGTTAACTACACACAACGGTTGTTCATTCTCTCTTTCATGCTGACACTGCAGAAGTTTTTCTTGAAAAAGTTAGGACAACTCTGAAGTGTCTCCTTCTTTCCATTCACTGTCTGTGTGATGAAAGGCCTCAAAGGTTGGGTTTCTTGAGGAAGGGATTGAAGTCGTATATCTGGAAGAGCGCGATTTCAAATGGTTTCCTTTCTACGTAGAGAGAAAAACGTGATCTAAGGTCGTACGTCGTATGGCTGAGTTAATCTCACAGAGCTATACGTTGTTCTCTCTCTCATCCTTGTTTTTTTCAGTCTTTCACCGTTCATTTGTCTTCTCCTGGCCTCTGAACTATTCTGGTACCGACTATCTAGAGTTCAGCATAATGTTCATCATGTTCTCATGGTAACAGTTATTGTGGCCGGTCAATGTACTTCCTGCCGACTAGTCTTATGTTAATTTACCACTGCATACCACGTCTGGGCCATAAATTTGCGTCAGTTCAGGGTCCTTTGGACTGTCTGTCTGAAATACGGAAACCAGCGGTTTAGGGACGGTGCCGTTGTGTTAGATCGTGCGGCCATGGATAACTCCAAAGAGATAGACTGGGGCGAACCACGGCATCAATTGTGAATTTGCCGAAAGTGCTGCCTGTGCAACGCGAACTCGTATTCTGTAAGGTGAGACTTTACTTTTTTCTTAAACTGAGGAGTTTTGGCTCGATTTTGTTTGGAAAACAAAGGGAATTCGCAACTCCGACACACGTTTCTCTTCTATGATCCACAACACCAATCGTGACCTCATGAACTCACTGCACTTCTCGCCGCGACTTCAAATACCACACCTACCTACTGATTAAATTACAGTAGCTTGAACTAATCAAAAAATTCCTGCCAACTCCTATGATCATGTCGAATTATCGGATATCCTGTATGTTCGCCACGGAATTAGTCGTCATATGCAAGACAATATCTTCTGTCCTTCTGACCAGTAGTGATGATGCTCACAATGGTTTCTGACAAGTCCGGGGATTTCCTCTCCCAACTTTGGTGGTGCTTTTGGTGTCTTTGGTTGTTCTGTTTTGACGCGAGTTCCCATTGGTAGTTTCTTCTATCCAACTGGTGAATATGGTTCAGTCTTCTACGAAGAACACACCTAGCGTCACGGTAACCGTATGGGTTACATTCCTTCCATTCGATAGACCAACGCATCATGTGTAATTCTCCCATAATCATCATCCAGTGCCATTTAGTGACTTTTATTGGCAACCTTATTACCACAGATGGTACTGCAACTTTGCAGCTTGTTGTCCATCACACCTACACTCTATTTGTGTACCTTACTTTATATGACAGGAACTTCTGTGTCCGGACAACTACAGACCGTCTGTCTACCTCCCCAGTCTCAGTGGACAGGCCAACAGACGACGATCATACTCCCGTTCAACGTGGATCTGGACAGCCCCAATCCCTACAGCCTTCTTCAGTCTTCCGGATCTGCGAACAGTGCACCAAAAGGCGTTGTTCCTACAGTCACCGACAAGGAAAATCGACCTCCATTAGTTGTACAGGTGTGCTTTCCCCTGGGATGTGGTCGGTTACCGACACGGACCGAATGCCTGAATTGCTTGAATTGGATTTCGTTCCTTTTACTGGTTGTTCGCAGTCAGCGCATTTCTCCATCCAGTTAGGTGGTCTGGCCTTTGTTGTTGAAACAAACAGTGTACAAAATAGCAAATGTTAGGAACGATAGGGGCGGGGGATTCGAGGACAGTCAAGCTGGTCGAACGGGGTCGCCCGTGTACACCCTCATTTTCTCATCAGTCCGGTCCCTTCTCATGTGTAGCGTTGAGTTTAATGCGCCAACTAGGCGATGACGTGCTGTTTGCAATGCATGATTTAGGTAGGGTAGCTGGTTTCTGTAGGGGGTTGAACGCATACACGATATTGCTGAGTCGTTTCTCGTCAGTGGCGTAATACGTGACGCGTAGAGCCTTTCACTTTTGACGATATGCAGTTCGGCGAACATATGTTTTCGGTAAGTAGGACTGCAGATTAACCGACAAACACCGGATGAAACAGAATGCAGAAATGCCGAGTTAACAGTCAGGCAGCATGAATAGCAACCAGGTAACAAGAGTGGCGGTTTTTTCCTGGTTACTTGGTCGATACGCCCGTCAGTCGGGTTGATTTGGAGAGCCACTTCTGCGCCAACAAAGTTGGACTCACTCGATTCTCATAGCGATCGATTTGGCATCAACTGTCGAATTATTTTTGAGCAATTGTTTGGGATCCGATAAATGGTACTAAACGGTGGCTTGAATTCGTCAGGTAATTTACGACTGTACTGTCGCTAGACTCCCTAATCGCCATTCTGAGAAATTTCGGATGATGTTTTACGATTACTTTTGAAGCACTTTTGGCAAAGCGGTCGATATGGTTTGCAGGTGATGCGAATGGACTACCTTTGATGAGTCTAGGGCTGTGGAAGAGCCACAGAACGAAAGCTTTCGCTGAACAACAGTGTACTTTTCTGACTGACACTTCTATCCCATTTGTAGTGTATTTCGAAGGTCTGTCACGCTTGAAGGATGGCCGTTTAGATATTGGGTTTTGTTGACGGTGAACTGTTTATCCATCATTGGTTGCTTCCGACATCCTTTGCCTGAGTTGTAATTCCCCCGCCAGGCAGCGAAATAACTTTTAGTTGCATGGTATATCGTTGAAACTATTCAGTTCAGAGGGAAAACCTTATCGCAAATAGCCAGTTTGTCGGAAGCTTCCGGCATGTCTCTTTGTCACGATCTGGTTTCAAGACAAAGCCAGTGATTTACACTGTATCAAGGTTCTTTTCGTTCGTTCAGGTGGTATTTTGAAACTGCAGGTTCAGTTTGCCATTGCGTTCTGGCTCCGTTACTTTTCTGTTTTCTTCCTTTTCACAGACGTCCTCGCGTCGAAAGGTGAGCATCACTATCGTAAATTACTGCTTGTCCGCTCCCGCTCCTCCTTGCGGTTCCAGTGATCATCTTGAACCAAGCGCACACACCGAAAAACGTTTAACACCTGGGTTTGACAACGGCACTAAAATTCATGCGATATCTTGTCCCTGCTGTTATTGAACTTGATGTGGAGTAAAGGAGGCAGAGGGGCGAGATGGCTCGAGTGGTTAGAGCGCGAATTTACTGACCGCGAGGTCCGTGATTCGAACCCGGCCTCTTCCTCTCAGTTTCCCCTGTCTAGGCTTGGGCAACCTGGCAGTATCCCAGCCCTCGTGCTTCCTTCGGGCGGAATGGCAGCTAGGCACCGAAAGGGGGTACAGTTGAATGGTTTTTTGAGCTCCGAACCGTTTATAGTGAAATTAGACAATATTTATCGATGGAAATTTTGCCCAGTACGTGAGGTTGAAAAGTCGCGAAGCATTGTACACTTCACGAAACTCCATGGGGTTTCACTCCAGCGATTCCCTGGTTTGTAGTTTGAATACTTAACCGTTCGGCTGGTTAGCAGTATGATTAAGTCACAGGATACGATCCAATCCTGGAATCCGCACCACGCAACGACTTGTTCACTGGTTTAATGATTGAGGGTTTCCAATTAGATTATTGAAAACCCTTTTTGGCAGGCGACCCTCACGAAGTGCAAAACCGAACACTTCTGGTCATAATCCTCACATTTTGGAAATTCTGTGTTCGACTGTGGTGTTTTCAGACAAAAGAGCATTTCCTCCTTGTAAACATTGTTTATACACGTGACACCTGTGTGAGCTGATTGTCTGGTACTCATGGAATGAATATTTAGTCGACCCACTTTATGATTGGTAAATATAGTGATGGGCCGTCGTGAGATCTCGCGATCGGCGCCTGGCATCGTTTATCTATGCTACTTACACATTAGCAGTAGTCTGTATTTTATTTTTGTCGCTTCAGGTGCTCAACTTGGGCTCGCTCGATGTGGATCACATCCTATCACAATCGCACTGATTTATTCCACGAAATAGTACATCAATAAAGCAAATATTTTTGTACGTTTAGATTTGTCCTTTCCGCAACGCTTATTTCTTATTTCTTCACGTAAAGCTGTGTCGTTTCCGGAATATATATTTTTTAACTTCCTGACTTATTCAATTTTCTGGCTGTGAAGATGATAATCTCTAATGAATATTTTGTAGAAAGGATGCAAGACAACAATCTGTCGAAGCAAGAATGAACCGTACAGGAAGCATGAATAAGGTGGAAAGGAAATCAATACCGTATAGGCTCACACACGTTTAAAGCCATCACCCCTAATGTCCAGTGGATCCATTTGCTTTTTAGAGGGGATTTTTGTGAGGTAATAAATGACAAAGCACACTGAATTTCAAAGCTTGTTCAGCAAGATGGAGACCTTATATCAAATGTTTTTTCCGCTTCACTTCGCTGGTGGTTTCCTCGGATTGTTTGTCTAGATTACTCCGCCTGATCTGATCACAAACGAAACGCAAATATCGGTAAAAACCGGCGTCTTAATTCAAAGCAACTGATCATTCATGCTGTAGCCACAATGTTTGGTTGGCTCTGGGAATAAACTACATAAGTGTTATATCTTCCGACTAGCCAATCTGTGGTATCTGCTGCTGACCCGCTCCAGTGCCTCAAAAAAGACTCACAGAAGGGAACACAACAGCTATATTCTGGACAGGCTAGT